AAACTGCACTGTGCACTTTTATTATTTTTTTTTGTTATAATATGCTGTTTATTTTTAATGGAACACTAAAACTTGATTCTTGTTTAAATTTTAAGAAAGATTTTTGTCTTCAAACTCAAATGCCAAATTGCCATACTGAAAATAGCATAAATAAGGAATTAAAAAAAAACCTTTTTGTGTTTTTTTTTTTTTACAAATAGTTTATTGTCAAATTAGTTTCTACATAACACTCAGTGCTCATCCCCACAAGTGTCCTCCTCCATGCCCATCCCCCCCTCCCCCCCACATCCTTCAGTCCTCAGTTTTTGTCAGCATTCAAGAGTCTCTCATGGTTTGCCTCTCTCCCTTTCCCCCACCATTTCCCCCCTTCTTCTCCCCCTTGTTCCTCCGTCAAGTTCCTCCTAATCCTCCTATACGTGCAAACATATGATATTTGTCCTTCTCTGCCTGACTTATTTCGCTCAGCATAACACCCTCAAGGTCCATCCATGTTGCTACACATGGCCAGATTTCATTGTTTCTCATTGCCATGTAGTATTCCATGGTATAGATAAACCACGTCTTCTTGATCCATTCATCTGTTGATGGACACTTAGGCTCTTTCCATGTTTTTGCTATTGTGGAGAGTGCTGCTATGAACATTGGGGTACATGTGCTCCTATGCCTCAGCATTTCTGTATCCCTTGGGTAAATTCCTAGCATGCACTGTGCACTTTAAAAGGATGAATATTTTAGTATGTTACATATCTCAGTTTTTAAAATTTGGATTTAGGGGCTCTTGGGAGGCTGAGTTAAGTGTCTGACTATTAATTTCAGCTCAGGTCATGATCTCATGGTTCATGGGATCAAGACCCAAGTTGGGCTCTGCACTGACAACATGCAGGTTGCTTGGGATTCTCTCTGTCTCTCTTTCTCTCTCTGCCCTCTCCCACCTACAAGCATGCAGTATGCAAACAAACAATAAATAAATAGCTTAAAATTTAAATTAAATAAAATAAAAATTGTGTTCTGCAGTAAAGAATTTGGATGCTCTTATTGCATGACATCACACAGAAGGGAGTATAACTCTTTCCATGAACTATCAGCAGTTCCCAGAGACCCCAATCAAAATACTTGGTACTCATTTTTTGTGGCAAATATAACTTTTTTATTGTGGTTGAATATACATATATACAGTTTTAACCATTTTAAGTGCATTTTGGTAAATATAATTTTAATATGTGCATGTATCTTGATTCCTTCCCATTTAAATACTACATCTGTTACTATTAATAAAATATAGCTATAGAAGCTTTCTAATTTTCTGAGATGTGATGGAAATTTTTCTGCAGATTCACTTTATGCAATCTATAAATTAAGATATATCCTAAGACATTTATTCTGGAAAAATGATGTTTTCAGATTTTTAAAATATTTTTATTATAAACTCAATGACTTTATATTATTTCCCCCCTCTATTTTAGTTAAACATTTATTTTACAAACTTTTTTAAACATGAAAATATAAACTTTGGTGGCGACTACCCTATCAGACAATTTGTTTGTTGTTTTAAACATATTTTAAAGGGATGGCTTTTTAGAAGGAATGAGTTTCCTATGCAACAAAGTGAAACCTTATGCAAAAACGAATGGGAAAGAATGAACCGAAGTGGGAAGAACAATACACTTTAACTGTGCCAAAAGTTAGCCTCAGCACAAAATCGGTCCCAGTCAGAGGCTGGAGTCACTTCGAGGAATGTGTATGCTGCCTGAGACACAAGCTCTAGTTCGCAGAGCCATCTGAATCATTTTGTTTGTTTTTTTTCACACCAGTAGAGAAGCTGATTTTTTATAAGACTAACCTTTTTATTTAATGCATAGCCATCCTATACCTAAGACATAATAAATATTAAAATATAATGCATAACCGGTTCAAACTTAAAATTAGCCATTAGCATCCTCTAAGTAAGCATCATTAAATTCAAAGAGAACTTTCTTTTCTAAGGCTCTCTTCATAGTATAGTACTTGTGAAAGAAAATTCCAAGAGAACATTGGATCCAAAAAGACTTCATGGATATAAATTGAAGAAACTTCCATTTGTCCAGATTTTACATGTGTCTTTTACACAAGGTTTTCCAGAGTCTCCCACTCCAGTGTATCCTGCTAAGCCACAGATAAGCTGCACACAGCAACCCTAACTGACCATAGAACCCTGTCTTCTTGGAGTTTATGGGACTCCACACAACAGAAACTCTAAAAATTTAGGAAAATCGATAAGTACTTGGTTACTCTCTGGAAAGGGTTGTTTATCTTTCTATTCTGTACAAATCTTTTATCATACTTTTAGTTTGACTCTATTCCTTCAGAAAGAATGTTACTCTAGGGTTAAAATCTTGTCTTCAACTGGGAAATTTTGAACAGAAAACAGTATAGAAGTTAATAGCCAGAGCACTTGGGTGGCCTAGTGTCTGACTCTTGATGTTGGTTCAAGATCTCAGGGTCATGAGATTGAGCCCCATGTAGGATTCAGCATGGAGCCTGCTTGGGATATTCTCTCTCTCCCTCTCTCTCTCTGCCCCTACCCCCTCTCAAAAAATAAATAAAAGTAAAAAAAGAAGTTAATAGCCTAAACAATTAGCAATATGAATAATAACATGAACATCAGATGGCCAACATGTTGAGTACTTATTCTGAGCATAGAAACCCTAGTAGATGCTACACATGCAGTATGTTTTTCACCCTTTGCAGTCACACAACAGGTATGTAACGATCTTTCCCAATTTCACAGAAGAAGAGACAGAAGGTGCAGGAATTAAGCAACTTCCTTAAGGTTTCACGGTATATAAAAGGCAGAACTAGAGGGAGAGACAGGTCTTACTGCAGGGCCCATGCTGCACCCACTCCTGCTTAAACAAGGGGCTTGAGCAGAGTCTTAGCTTTGCCTTGGATGTAGTCAGGTCTAAGATGAGAAACATTTATTGGTGTAGAAAATGACTGTTTGCCCTCCAGCATTGCATTTCTCCAGATTACACATAGGAAATGAGCATATCACATGTGCTGGGTCTGGTTTCTGCAAGGAAGTATGTAGGTGCTTGTGATCACTGCGTGTCGGCTATTCATTCACCAAGTCTCCTGACCACTTTGTCTGGGCGTGCACTTCTCTGCAACCAGAACAAGTCCATGCCGACCCACTGGGGAGCTCACATCAAACAGTGAGAGGACAGCAGAGGAACAGGAGTCAAGTGGCCTGTTCCATGAGAAGAAAGGAGCCACACCAGGAGCAGGAAGTCCTGGGCACATGGCAGACAGAGAGCAAGTGACAAGTCCACATCCCATGTCCTTCCTGCCACCCCAGCCCACCCTCGGGGAGGGACACAGTGGGCCCACCCCGTTCCTTAGTCTTGGGGAAGGGCAGTGAGAGGTAAGCAAATAAGTTTACCTCCAAACCTTCCTAACAGCTTTGCTTGCCCTTAGCCAGCCCTGGGTCAACCAGCCCTGTCTATCACTTACACAAACAGCTGCTGCAGGGTACTTCTCAGAAATAATCAAGAGAGGGAGAGAGTGAATTTTCACTAGGCAATCTCTTTTTACCATGTGTTACCCACCCCCTGCCATTTGCTTATTTGCTTGCTTGATTTTAACCCAAAACCTAAAGATTCACAGGAATGATATTGAGCTTGGTGTTTGTCACAGGGACGCCTGGGTGGCTCAGTCAGTTAAGCATCTGACTTCGGCTCAGATCATGATCTCACAGTTTGTGGGTTCGAGCCCCATGTCCGGCTCTGTGCTGACAGCTGGCTCAGAGCCTGGAGCCTGTTTCAGATTCTGTGTCTCCTTCTCTCTCTGACCCTCCCCTGTTCATGCTGTCTCTCTCTCTCTCTCTCTCTCTCTATCTCTCTCTCTCTCAGAAATAAATAAAAGAAAGAAAGAAAGAAATTGACATGAGGACCCAAAAGGGGATGGAGAAATGCTTGTGTCTTCTAGTGCATGCTAAGACCCTGATCTTTAGGTTCTGAGTTGTTTGGTTTTATTAGCTGCTAGATCCTAAGCACCTAAAACTTGCTATTAAACATTGAAAGAAATAAGAATATATAGATATTTACTCACAGATAAATTCTATCTTGTTGAGATTTAGAGCAAAATCTAAGAAGGTTTTTTGAGATGTTTGTCTGTTTATGTGTGTGTATAGCAACTAAAACAGGATTTTTTTAGTGTGATAAAATGTGAATAACAGAACTTTCCACCTTAACCATTTTTAGTGTCATTGAGTACGTTCAAACCATCCCTCATCCATCACACCCATCCATCTCTAGAATGTCTCCATCTTCCCAAAGGAAATCTCCATGACCATTAAATACTGTCTGTTTCCCAGCCCTCAGCCCCTAGCAACCATCATTCCACTTTCTGTTTGTACCGATTTGATTGCTCCAGGAATCTCATGACTGGAATCACATAATAGTTGTTCTTTTACGTCTGGCTATATTCTTTACTTTAGATAACTTATTGATCATTTTTCTTCTTATATGAGTAATACATATCTATTTTGGAAAAAGGTAGAAGACACATAAAAGCCAAGGGAGAAAGTAAATATTACTTGTAAGCTGCACTCAGATAACCACTAAAATCGTTCATACATCTTTCAGTCTCCTTTTCTTTCAGCTTATTACATGCAGGTAATGCATAGGAATATACATAGAGACAGACATATAATTTGTTACCTGCTTTTAGCAACATATCAGAAACATTCTCCCATGTTCCTAAACACTTCTTATGTAACCATTTCAATGGCTGTACAATACTTTATTGGAGAGCTGTATCACAATTTAATGAACAAACTCCTTCCAGCTCTTGCGCAGTTTTGAAGGCCTGTTTGTCTGTGTGGCACTGTCTTCCCCATCTGAATCACCACACATCCTGAATGGTGTCTCCTAGGCATTAGAGATGGTGTCTGTTAAGCAAAACTACACATGAACAGGCACTTAAGTGATGAATACCATCAACAGCATCTTTTCTTTTTCCAGGTCAGCAGGGCTTTTCAGCTTGATCGACACCATGTGGCCTCCAGTGATGCTTCTGAAAGCAGCTGGCCATGGCCGAGGCTGTGAAGAGGTGAGCCAGCGTCCTCAGAGCCCCCCTGGTTGCCACCTGCACTGTCCAGGCACTAAGTCAGGCCCCAGCCACGGTCCACATCCCTGAGAAGCTGAGGTCCAGGGACTATGAGCACAGAGATTCAGACTCGTTCACCTCAGTCTAAAGTCCAGCTCTGGATGCTTTCTTTGCTAGGTCACACCCAGTTCTTCTTGAGGTTAATTTATGACGATGTCTTAATACCACAACCATTGCATGCTGTTGCAACAGTCAGCGTCTTAGCCTCATACTAAACAAGCCACAGGGTATTTCCCCCTCCACCTCCCAGTTACGATTAGAACCAGCATTCAGTTACCAATTAGAGCACAAACTCACCTAATGTCATAAATAAAATCCATGGTATTGGTACAACTACCAGGGCAGACACGGATTTCCCTTCCCCTGCTGCACCAGATTGTTTATGGTGCTTGCCCACAGGTAGTAAAACTGACTGATTAAAATCTGTCCTTCTCCTCCATCCTCAGTTTTATCCAGCAGACCAGCTGTGGCTGCTTTGGGCTGTAACTCCAAAAGCTGAAAACTGGGGACTATCTTGTTTGTGTGGTAGCTGACTTCCTAGCAGACTGCTAAGACTATAACTCTGTACTGTGCTAGACCAGGAAATAGTTGTCAACAATGCCCACTTTTTTTTTTAAAGGGAAGAAGTTTCTTTTTTTTTAAATGTTTACTGATTTTTTTGAGAGAGAAAGAGAGACAGAGACAGAACACAAGTGGAGGAAGGACAGAGAGAGAGGGAGACACATAATCCGAGGCAGGCTCTAGGCTCTGAGCTGTCAGCACAGAGCCTGACATGGATCTCAAATCCACAAACCACGAGATCATGGCCTGAACTGAAGTCAGACACTTAACTGACTGAGCCACCCAGGCACCCAAAGAGGAATAAGTTTCTAAATAGTATTTTCAAATATACTCTGAAAAATAGTTTGTTTTTGTTTTTTAAGCTTATTTATTTAGTTAGAGAGACAGCAAGCTTGGGAGGGACAGAGAGAGGTAGAGAGAATGAATCCCAAGCAGGCTCCACAATACCAGTGTGGAGCCCGATTCAGGGCTCGAACTCACGAACTGTGAGATCGTGACCTGAGCCAAAATCTAGAGTTGGATGCTTAACCTACTGAGCTACCCAGATGCCCCTGAAGCACCTGAAGGTTTGTTTTTTTTTAAATCCGTAATAAATTCAAAAAGTATAAAAGTTCTTATGTTTGTTCCCAGAGGTAAACAACATAATCAATTTCTTATATAACCTTCCAAAAAGATAGAATGCATCTGTGAACAAGTATGTATATATTAAAAAGTAGATTTTAATAGTATATTTGAATCTTTACCAGTACTCTCATGTTTACCTTTGCCTTCATTTTTTAAACAGGTAAAAACACACGTGCCTCCGCCTAGCTTCTGTTACATTCTCGCTGCTCATCCAAATGTGGGACAGATTGATATAATCGAAGAAGACCCCATTTCTAAGCTTTACCAACCTCCAGTTCCCCGCTTCTTAAGAGAAATTCTCCAGGTATCATCTGTGTTTCTAACAGGGTCTTTAATTACTTTTACTGTATTTGTGTGTTTTGTGTGATGTCCTAATCATTTTCAATGCCTTTCCAGACTGATGATCTCAGTACACGTTGCAGTTTCTATGCCAGGGTGATTTATCAAAGATCACAGGTAAACAATCCCTCTCTCTCTCTTTCTGATAAGGTGTCATAAAGTTTATTAAAGGATAACCTTTCATAGAAGTTAATGGAGTGGTAAAATGGAATAAATCATTTCTTGTGCAGGTGCAGCCTACCGGCCAGTGGGTAAGTCCTGGACACAGCCCAGGTTGAGAGATTCTCAGCCCAGCACTGTGCGTTCCTGTTGGGCACACAGGCAGGTTGTAGAAAGGGGATACAGGGAGGAATCTCAGGACTGAGCTTGGCCCCGGCCAGAACTGTCCAACAGCTGAGCTAGCAGCAGGTGAGGGAAGCCCCATGGCCTCAGAAGGCGTTGGCAGTTCTGGGGGGATGCTTGTCTGCCACCTTGCCACTCAGCAAATCAGCACAGAGCAGACAAGGGAAAGAGATGGGTTGGTAAGCTGAACACAAGACATAAGTTCTACAAGAAAAATACCTCTGCTGGACCTTAACTCAGAGAGGAACATGCATGCAAATCTATCACCTGAGTAGTACAGACCATCCTGTTGTTCAATCCTCATTTTCCTTTTCTCAGTTCACTTTTTAATCATTTGACAGCAAATTGATACCCCTTATGAGAAATAAGAGAGTGACTGACATTAGTCTTTCACAGTGCGTCCTGTGAGCCATCCTAGCATTTGGCTCAACAGCCAGGGCGACAGGCCTCAGTGAAGGTAATATCCAGGTACCTTATGTGTCTCTTCCCATCCAACCCTTAAGCAAACTGAAGGGTGACTGCAAACTCCCCACCCGCCGTCTGCAGGACACTCAGTATGTTGAGACATGCTTGGCACCTGGCACACTTCCTAGTATTCTAACACACATTCCAGGTCAGATGGCTGTGTCATCAGGCAGTGGTTCACTGTGCAGCTGCCCTCTACTCTGCCATTAGACTGCTGTCTTCGCGGGCAATATACACATGTTGGTGCCCATAGAGCCTTACCTGCCTTCTGCCCCAGCTGACAGCAGGCGTGGAAAGTAACGAAAGCAGGGGTCAGATATACCATAGCTAAGTCTCATTGCTAGCCCCAACGGACAGAGAGAGACAGACTACAGGTCACTTGCCTCACTAGACGAAGGAGCCCTGCCAGAAGGGCCACGGTGTGGCGCAGCCAGCCCCCTGTACATCACTGTGATGGTTCACTTTAAGAATGGCACTAGGAGGGGCGCCTGGGTGGCTCTGTCGGTTAAGTGGCCGACTTTGGCTCAGGTCATGATCTTGCAGTTGATGGGTTGAAGCCCCGCATCAGGTTCTGTGCTGGCAGCTCAGAGCCTGGAGCCTGTTTCAGATGCTGTGTCTCCCTCTCTTTCTGCCCCTCTCCCGCTCATGCTTTGTCTCTCTCTGTCTCAAAAATAAATAAAAACTATTTAAAAAAAAAAAAAAGAATGGCACTAGGAGTCACTGCAAGAACCTGAGTTTTCAAAGAAGACTCAGATGTATTTCCATTATACAAATGGCCAAGTCATGCAAGTGAAAGATATTTAACTTATTTTTTTTTTTTATTTTTTATTTATTTTTTATTTTTTATTTTTTTTTTAATTTTTATTTTTATTTTATTTATTTATTTTTTTTTACAAATAGTTTATTGTCAAATTAGTTTCTACATAACACTCAGTGCTCATCCCCAAAGTGCCCTCCTCCATGCCCATCCCCCCCTCCCCCCCACATCCATCAGTCCTCAGTTTTTGTCAGCATTCAAGAGTCTCTCATGGTTTGCCTCTCTCCCTTTCCCCCACCATTTCCGCCCTTCTTCTCCCGCTTGTTCCTCCGTCAAGCTCCTCCTAATCCTCCTATACGTGCAACAGAAATGCTGAGGCATAGGAGCACATGTACCCCAATGTTCATAGCAGCACTCTCCACAATAGCTAAAACATGGAAAGAGCCTAAGTGTCCATCAACAGATGAATGGATCAAGAAGATGTGGTTTATCTATACCATGGAATACTACATGGCAATGAGAAACAATGAAATCTGGCCATGTGTAGCAACATGGATGGACCTTGAGGGTGTTATGCTGAGCGAAATAAGTCAGGCAGAGAAGGACAAATATTTAACTTATTTTTAAATGATTTTATCTTTAAGTAATCTCTATTCCTAACTTGCGGCTTGAACTTACAACCTGAGATCAAGAGTTGCATGTTCCACCCAACTAAGCCAGCCAGATGCCCCCATAACTTTTATTTTAAATAAAATTATTCTAACCTTTTAGATTAATAGTAATTATAGGTTCATAATAGACTACCAAGAAATATATAGTGTCCTCCTGTGCACTGTCCCCTGTACTAACATCTCATACCCAGAGTAGCCACCACACACCCAAACCAAGAAACTGACATCAGCCACTAATCCAGTGTCATCATTATAATTATGTCATTTCATGATTGTTACACAAATGAAGCCACGCAATATATATCAGTGTTGTTTCCTAGGCCAGCTGCACAAAGTACCAAAAACTGGATCATTTAAAACAACAGAAATGTGTCATTTCACACTTCTGGAAGCTAAAAGTCTGAAACCAAGGAAGGTATCAGCAGGGCCATGCTCTCTGTGACAGCTCTGGAGAAAATCCTACCTTGCCTCTTCCACCTCTGGTGTTTGCCGGCAATCCTTAGCTTGTACACACATCACCCCAGGCACATGGCCATCTTTACCCTCTGTGTCTCCACATGTATTCCCTCTGTCCCTATCAGTGTCCAGATTTCCCTTGTGATAAGGACACCAGTCATATTGGATGAGGGCCTGCTGTAATGATTTCACTTAACTTGGTTAAGTTTATAAAGACTTTTATTTCCAAATTAGATCACATTCTGAGGTACTAGAGTTAGAACTTCAGTGGATCTGTTTGGAGGGATACAATTCAACTTGTAACAGCTCCTTTGGTAGCTATTTGGTTGGGATGTTTCTCTCCCCAGTTAATAAAATTCTCTAGAGATTCATCCAGAGAACTAATGATGTTGAACATCTTTCATGTGTTTATTTGCCATCTGTGTAACTTCTTTGGTGAAATGCCTATACATGACTTTGCCCATTTTCTGTTTGGATTCTTTGTTTACTGTTGAATTTTTATTTATTTTTTCAATATGGTATTTTCTTTTATATTTATATTTTTTTATATTTTAGTTAGATAACATACACTGCAATATTGGTTTCAGAAGTGGAATTCAGTGATTTATCACTTACATATAATACCCAGTGCTCCTCACAAGTGCCCTCCTTAATACCCATCACCCATCTAGCCCACTTCCTATCCAAATCTCTCCATCAACCCTCAGTTTGTTCTCTGTCATTAAGAGTCTCTTGTGGTATGTTTCCCCTTCTTCTCTTCCCATCCCCCCTTCCCATATGTTCATCTGTTTTGTTTCTTACATTCCACATATTATTGCTGAATTTTTAAAGTTCTTTATATAGTCTTTACACAAAGCCTTTGTCAGATATGTGATCTGCAAATATTTCTCAGGGTCTATAATCTGTCTTTTCATCCTTTCAACAGGGGCTTTGCAGAGCAGAGTTTTTCATTTTTGTATGGTCAAATGTATTAACTTTCCCTCTTATGGATCATGCCTTTGTCATAAAGTCTAAGATAAGTCAAGTCTCTTTGCCTAGCCATAGGTCCCGAAGTTCATCTTTTTTTTTTTAATGTTTATTTATTTTTGAGAGACAGAGCGTGCACGCGCGTGTGCACCCGCGCACACACACACACATACACACACACACACACACACACACACACACGTGAATGGGGGAGGGGCAGAAAGAGAGGGAGAAAGAGAATCCCAAGCAGGCTCTGCACTGTTAGCACAGAGCCCAGCATGGGGGGGATCTCACAAACTGTGAGATCATGACCTGAGCCCAAATCAAGAGTCAGATGTTCAATCGACTGAGCCATTCCGGTGCCCCAAAAATTTATCTTTTTATGTTCTTTTTGAGAAGATTTATAATTTTACATTTGAGTCCGTGCTGCATTTTTGAGTTGGTTTTTGAATAAAGTGAATAGTTTAGGTCAAGGTTCTTTTTTTTTTTTTTTTTTTTTTGCCTAAAGATGTCCAGTGTTCCAGCACTATTTGTTGATAGGCTGTCCTTCCTCCATTGAATTGCTGTTGCAACTTTGTCAAAAATTAATGGACATTTTTGTGTGGAAGAGATCCTTTTTTTTAAGGAGGCTTTCATGCCCCGTGTGGAACCCAACACAGGGCTTGAACTCACAATTGTGAATAAAGACCTGAGCTGAGATCGAGAGTCAAACACTTAACTGACTGAGCTACCCAGGTGCCCCAGAAGAGATCCATTTTTAATAAAATTTTAGCAGTAAGATTGGTAGTACAGCTTTGAATTAATTGGTTATTTGTATCTTTTTTTATAGAGGATATAATTTGTTACTGATTTTATTCATAACCCCAATAGTAAAGATACATTGACAGTTAATTTCAAAGGAAATTAGACCATTTTGGCCCATCAAGAAATTGAAAAAGAAACAGTAAGCTAAATTCAGGGTATTTACGAAGCATCTCTAAAATCTTTGAAGACTGTCAGAAGAACCCCCAACTGTAGATAATCTTATAGAAATCTTTGCCCTTCCTGAGATATCTACCATTTTTTAAAATGTGATTTTGCTAGTTGTTCCCCTAAAATCATTTATAACTCCATGGTCCAATACAGGTTCATGCATTGCACTTAGTTGTCATGTTTCTTTCTTCTTCAAATGGAACATTTCTACATTTTTGCTTATTTTTTATGACCTTGACATTTTTGAAGAATAGAGATTATTTACTTGGAATGTCTCTCCATTTGGATTTAACTAAATTAAGGCTATGTATTTTTCTCAGCCATACCACATAAAAATACTGTCTTCATATCAGGAGGCACACAGTTGATTTGTCCCAGTTTTATAACATTTTATCAATTGATTATGATGGTGTTTTCTAAAATGCTCAAAATCACTCATCATCAGGGAAATACAAATCAGAACTACAATGAGATACCACCTCACACCTGTCAAAATGGCTAAAGTTCACAACACAGGAAATAACAGGTGTTGGGAGGATGTGGAGAAAGGGGAGCCCTTCTGCACTGTTGCTAGGAGTGCAAACTGGATTAGCCACCCTGGAGAACAGTGTGAAGGCTCCTTAGAAAGTTAAAAATAGAACTACCCTACAATCCAGCAATTGCACTACTAGGTATTACCCAAAGGATAAAAAAATTCGAATTTGAAGGGGCACGTGCACCCCAATGTTTATAGCAGCATTATCAACAATAGCCAAATTAGGAAAATAGCCCAATGTCCATAGACTAACAAATGGGTAAAGAAGAGGTGAGATAGGTATATATATTATGGAATATTACTCAGTCATGAAAAAAATCTTGCCATTTGCAAAGACATAGAGGGAGCTAGTGAGTACTATGCTAATTGAATCAGTCAGAGAAAGACAAAGACCATATAATTTCCCTTATATATGAAATTTGAGAAACAAAACAATTGTGCAAAGGGGGAAAAAAGAGAGGCAAATCAGAAAACAGACTCTTAACTGTAGAGAACAAACAAGGTTGCTAGAGGGAAGGTAGTCAGGGAATAGGCTGGATGGATGATGGATATTAAAGAGGGCACTTTGATGAGCACTGAGTGTTGTATATAAGTAATGAATCACTAAATTCTACACCTGAAACTAATAGTACACTATATGTTAAATAGCTGGAATATAAATTAAAACTTTTGGGGGAAAAAGATGGTGTTTTCTAGTTTTCTCTACTCTAATGAGTATCTGATACATGTAAGTTAATAACTATGTAACAAACATTGTAGGAAGATATATTGAGACTATATAAACATCCTATTTTTATCAAACTTTTACTCACTCATTTTAATATCGATATGATTGTTGGCCTGAATTATTACTCTGATAGTGGTCGAATGGTAGATTTCTAATTCTAGTATACCCTCTATATTTATTAGTTACATTCAGCTATACTTAGGAGCTTTTTATTTCATTGATTTATTTATGTATTTACTTACTTATTTCAGTATGGACCCTTGGATTCCATTTTTTTCAATGGGTTATAATCTTACTGTAGTTTATTTGCATGTTCAGGTGTACCAGATTCAGGCTGGTTCCTGTACACTTTGGACATGTTCCTGTCATTTTTCTAAGTACTTGCTTACTGTCTGACACAATAAGATGTATCAGACTCATCTTGTGCTTTCTCTGCTCTGGAAACAGCCATCTCTTCAAGGATCCCTGGTAGATTTTAATGGAAAATAGCACTTAGAAGCAAAGGTCTGGGTACTAGATGGGCCCATTGCCACTAGGATGTTATTGCCTCTCGGCCCTCTCAGTGGACAGAGCAAGGAAGTATATGTGTGTAAACCCAGGCACACATACACATAAATCCATATTTCTTTCCGTCTCTCCATCTATATCCAAAAATCTTAATTTACACCAGTATCTCCAGTAGATCATTACCACAGAATTCACTCTAGGTTTCCCCATTTCCATATTTGTAACTCCCTTATCCAATAGTGAGAAACCTGGCTCTCATTTTCCTCAATATAATTTACCCTAATTTTCTATGTGTAATCAGCCTTTCAACCATGTGAGCTCCCCATTGACCCAAACCCACAGCTCTGACCATGCAAGTCACTTTCACTGCCCAGTCCTGTCAACCAGCCAAATGGAATCCTCAGCCTGACCATGCCATCAGTCACCAGCTGAACCTCAAGCCAGCCAGGTTGTCATGGTCCAGCCCTACTGACTACAAGGGTCTTCCTAGGCAAATCCTTGGCCCCAGTGGATCTACTAAATCCTAAATCCTGACCAGGGTAAAGGATAGAATACTATTACAATGAATTTTAAAAGGCATTACAACTTTTGCAGATAAAAGAAAATTATAGGGTGCCTAGGTGACTCAGTTAGTTAAGCATCTGACTCTTGATTTTGGCTCAGTTCTCGCAGTTGGTGAGTTCGAGCCCCATATCGGGCTCTGTGCTGACAATGCAGAGTCTGCTTGGGATTCTCTCTCCCCCCCTCTCTTTCTGCCCTCCAGCACATGCTTGCTCACTTGCTCTCTCTCTCTCTCAAAAATACGTAAACTTAAAAAAAAAGAAAATTATTATTATTAGCTCAGATTGTTTGCTAGCAACCAAGACACACAGACTCTACTATACATTTGAAAGAATAAGAGAAAAATAAAAATTGTTGCAGATACAACAAATATTTTATACCTGTTATACACCACAACCCTATCCAAAGTCTGAGGGCAATAATAATTATTCCTGTCTCAGTCAGTTTGAGCTGCTATGGATTAAACAACAACAGTTTATTCTCACAGATCTGGAATATGGAAGTCTGAGTTCAAACTGCCAACATGGTCAGGTTCTCAGTGAGGGATCTCCTCTTGGTTTACAAAACGGTATCTTCTTGCATCCTCACAATGTGGAAAGCAGGAAAGAAGACAAACTGTCTCATGTCTTAGAAGGACACTAATTCAGGGGTGCCTGGGTGGCATCTGACTTTGGCTCCGTTCATGATCTCAGGGTTTGTTGAGTTTGAGTCCCACCCCACATGAGGCTCTGTGCTGACAGCTCAGAGCCTGAAGCCTGCTTTGGATTCTGTGTCTCCATCTCTCTCTACGCCTCTCCCACCTGGGCTCTGTCTGTCTCTTTCTCTCAAAAATAAATAAATGTAAAAAAAACTTTTTTTTTAAAGAAGGACACTAATTCCACCATGAGGGTGACACCCTTGTGACCTAATTACCTCCTGAATACCCCACCTACCATTACGATCACATTGGAGGTTAGGAATTCAACATGAATTGGGGATATGGGGGTGGATATAAACATCAGTTTATAACAATCTCTGATTCTTAGGAAGTGTACATCTAACAGGACAGAAGAATGTGTAAGGACTAAATACTTACTACAATGTGGTAATTAACATTCTAGGTATGGGAACATGAGATCTGGAGAAAAAGAGTAATGGAATCTCCCTGAGTAGGTCAAGGATAAGTACATTAGTGCCACGGAAGGGCAGATTGTATCCCAACAAAGGAGCCCTTTAAACAAGTACAGGTTTGGGGTTCCCAGGGCTCAGCCATGTCAATCAGGTCGGATTGTTTGCTAGTGACCAAGACACACAGACTCTTGTATATTTGAAAATATTTGTTGGAATGATATCTAAAATACTGTTAGTAATAATCATCTAACATCATGGCTTTTAAAAGTTTTGGATATTAGGGGTACCTGGGTGGCTCAGTTGGTTTAGTGTTCGACTTCAGCTCAGGTCATGGTCTCAGGGTTCGTGAGTTTGAGCCCCACATCAGACTTGCTGCTGTCAGCCAGTCAGCTCAGAGCCCACTTAAGATCCTCTGTCCCCTTTCTCTCTGCCCGTCCCTTGCTTATGCTCTCTCTCTCAAAATATAAATAAAAAAACATTAAAAAAAATGTTTAAGTCTTGGATGTTAGAATAGCTATTAAAGTTAATGACTTAACTGTGTTTGAATTATAGCTGAACAATTTGCTTCTTCTACAGCAAAGAGAGATTTGGCTGATGGTGACTGATGTCAGCCTGCAGATGCAGGATGAGAATAACGCTGGCCTCCCCAAAACTGTACCAGTCTGTGTGGCCCCCTCCTGTGTGCTGAGCCAGGAAGTCCTGGAAGCGCTCACTCAGGCTGCCCCTCACAGCTTCCTCTTCAGGGACACTCTCCGAGCCCAGGGTATGCTTTTTTTCTTCACAGTTTTGACCCAGCAGCTACTGATAGACACCATAAAATGGCATCATGGTTTGTAAATTCCTCTGACTTAATCTGGAACTGCATCCCCTTTGTGAAGCCAACTGAAGACGTGGTGTGTGGAGTGGAAGAGGCCCATAGTACCAGCCTGGGACTTTCACTGACCCCTGTCATGGCCACCTGGACAGAACTAGAACCCTTGCAGTGCTGACACCCTCTGTGGAAGATGCCATTGGTCACTCAAAGATCATCTCTTGTGGCACACCTTACAGGTGCAAAAGCTACCTGAAGCCATTGCCTGAGACATCACTTTGTAAAACAAACAATGCTGGAACAGTATAACTTCATGCTTAGATCAGTTAACTCTTTTTTTCCAGGAATCAAGTTAAAATCCTGCCCTAATTACATTTTTTTAATTTTGTTGAGGTATAATTTGCATACCACAAAACTCACCTTTCCAAATTGAATTTGAATCTAGTATTTGTGTGCTTTCCCAGCTTAGCACACTGGTGGCTTTAGGACTTCCTTTCTGCACAGTGCACATGTCATTGGACACAAGGGAGGGGCCGCAAAACTGCCCTCTGCCCACACAACCTGTAGGAGGCTGGCAAAGGGCACTGTCCTTACTGGGAGAGAACTCACTTTTTTCTTCCGTGCTTCACTAATCTGAAATGTCTCTGTTGGCAGGTCAGATTGTTTGTGTTGAACGAAGTGTCCTTTTGCTTCAAAAGCCCCCTTTGGGTGTGGCCTCCAGTGCACCCTCCTGTGAACTGACCAGCCCTGTGAAGCTCAGTGAACTGGATTCTGTCACTCAGGTCAACTCCATTTGCAGCGTTCAAGGTGGGTAGTCAAGTCAGGACTTGTGGAAATAGAAATGGTATTTATATATTTTTAAATATCACACTTCATATTCGTTTACTCATGTATTCAACAAGCATTTATTGTTGTCTGACATGTTCCAGACTTTGGATACATGAGGAACAAAATCAGAAGAGGTTCTTGCCTCTTAGACTTAAAGTCTATATAGAAAGAAATCAGTCAGCTATGCACACAATCAGATTGGTAACGGCAGTGTTCTGAGTGCTCAGAGTACTGATCACTGGGACCTCCCGTTGTTAGGGAAGTCTCTGTAGTTCCCCAAGGCCAGGAGCCTTGTGCTGCGATCTGAAGGATAGGCAGTAGCTAATTAGGTGAGGGAGTAGAGGCAGGAAGAGTATCTGAAGGGGAAAAAACCAGGACACATAAAGGCTGCTGACAGGGCAGTGTCAGGGAGCACCAGAGTCTGGGAGTGGGCGGGAAAGATATCTGATGAAGGCAGTGACTGGAGACCCGGTGGAGAGGAGAACCACTGCCCCAGTGGGTGGCCCTGGCATGCTCTCTCATTGACAGAGAGGAGGGTGCTCCAGTTTTTGTCTCTGCAGAGCAGAGTGGAAGGGCCAGGGCCTTGGGTAATAGTCAGTGGGAGGGCAAGCACCAGTCCCACGACGTGAGGTAAGGGAAGAGGTGAAGTAAATATGGAAGTGGGTTTAGTTGGGGGAAGCTGACAGGTTGGGTAGTGAATTCAGTACAGAGGGAGCAAGGCATAGATGAGGGTGAGAATGTACCTGAGGACCTCTGAGATGCTAGTTTAGGCCACACGGTGATGGGAGAGCTGTTTAAGCAAAGAGGACATGGTAGAAGAAGCGAGCTCTGAGAGCACAATTTTAGCTACATCTTGATGAGTGTAGATGTCTTGATACATCTGAAAAGACGTTTCAGTAGCTGGTTGGATATATGAGTTTGGGGCTCAGCATAGCATTAATATTCTCCTTTTTAACTTTTTGAATTTTTTAGTGGAAAAAGTAGTGCATGTCCAGTGGAACTAGTGAAAGGTGAATAAAGAGAAAGTATTTTCTACCATGCACTGAACATGTTGCACTCTGTACACACAGGAACACGCATATGTGCCCCCTTCCGAGGGAATGTGTGTGACTGCAGAACTCTGTAAAACATACCATCCTGGCCCTTGCTTTCCTCACTTAGTACTCTAGCAGGGATGTCCACCCAGATGGGTGGGTAAAGATCTAACTCAAGATATTCATTGTTGCATAATATTCTCTTCTATGAATAAACTGTCCACTGACAGACATCAGACATGTTTCTCTGTCTTGTGTGGTTGTAAATAAGGCTGAAATAAACATCCTTTACATCAATCCCTACTGATTTCTTTGCAGGAAGATTTCAGGGTCTTAGAGTTCATGTATTTTTTTTAAAACAACTTAATTGAGATATAACCTACATCACTAGAATTCATTCATTTAAAATGGTTTAGTATATTCACAGATGTGCAACTGTTACTACAATCTATTTTAAAACCTTGTTAGGGCACCTGACTGGCTCAATCAGTAGGGCATGTGACTCCTGATATCAAGGTTGTGAGTTTGAGACCCATGTTGGGTTTAGTGATTTTTAACAAAACAAACAAACAAACAAAAACACTGTCATTATTCCAGAATAAGCCTTATGCCCATTGTCAGTGCCATTATGTGTTCCCACGCTATCCATTGCCCCTGGTCTTAGGAGAGCACTGATCTACTTTCTGTCTTTGTAGATTTGCTTTTTCTGGATACTTCACGTACACAGAGTCATACATTATATGGTCTTTCCTGATTGGCTTCTTTCATTTGGCATAATGTCTTCAAAGTTGCCCATGATGTACCATGTATCAGTGCTTCATTTTTGTTGATGACTGAATACTTCCTTGTATGGATGCCCCACATCTTGTTTTATCCATTCATTAGTTAATGGACATTGGGTCATTTCCACTTTCTGGCTATTGTAAGTAGTGCTGCTATGAATATTTATGGACAGGTGTTTTGTTTGAACAACCTGTTTTCAAATTTTGGGTATGTATCTAGGAATGGAATTTCTGAGTCATATGGGAAACGCTGTACTTAGCCTTTTTGACAAAAAAGTGTTTTCCAAAGTGGCCACACTATTGGTTTGTGTATCCTTAATATTAAAAGATACTAAGTTAATTTCCAAAAAATATACAGAAATTCACATTTCCAAAAGGCTTTCTAAAAGGGCCTGTTTCCCTCTGCCTTGCCCACCATAAGATTTCTGAATCTTTCTATAATTTTTATAAACAGCAAAAACTCTGATTCCGTTGTTGCTTTAATTCACATTCTCCTGCCTGCTTGTAAGATTGAGCACTCAATTCATTGTGTTGAGTCCATTTGGATTACTCTTCTTGCATTTTCTTTTAGTGTTAGGACCAAAAGATAACTAAAGTTGTAATTTTAAGTGAGAAAGGAAAGCAGTATAGCCTAGTAGTTCCAAAGAAAGCAGACTCCAATAAGTCATCTGTCATCTGGATCTTCCATCTTGTCATCTAACAGGGGGCTCATAGAATCCACCTTAAAGCATTGTTGAGGATTAAATAAGATCATGCACATGAGGCTGTGGGGGCTTGGAGGACTCACAGCCTAATGGAGAAGGACAACATCTCAGTGCTTTCACTGACCCTGACGAGGAGGGCTGGATGACAGCAAGAGCCAATGAGGCAGTGGGTGGGTGGCCTTGGGACCATTAGGATTGGTCAGGCAGAGTTGGTGAAGACCTTCCAGACAGATGAGGCCATATAGAAAACCTGTGGAGATGCCAACGGCAACTGGAAAAGCTTCAGATGCTGGAGGAGGTAGGACCCTTTGGGATGGAGTTGGTTCCGTCTCTTTCCCAGTCATGCTAACTCAGGAGGTTGTGTGATCAATTTGTTGTCTTAAATGGAGCAGTTCTGTCAGCACCATAGATAGACAGTGGTGCAAAGCCATGACTGGTTGCTGCAGGTGGTTTGGAAGCATGTCGGTAAGGCAGGGCTGGGAGTCTGCAGAGGCTGAGGGGCTGTTGGGGCATCTGAGAGCTGGCTCTGCTGGGCCCCTGGGCACACAGGCTTCGAGGACAGTCACCCTGCAGGTGTGTGCCCTGGAGCAGACGTGTTGCACATTTGTCCTCATCACTGTGCCCACGACGTGATAGGCTTGCACATCTCCTCCACCTCCAGAGGCCTGCCTTCCACCTTCATTCTCTGCAGTGCTTGCTCCTATCCTCCTCCCACTCCTCACCTCTCTCAGAGCCCAGGGACTCAGAGGAGAGAGCAGGGTGTGGGAGTGGCATTTTCTGCCCCACACTGGAGGGGAACCGCCAGGCACCCTGAGCTGTACAGGACCCTGTTGTTATGAGACCATAAGAATTGCCACCACCTGTAGCACCGTTTCAGCTAGAACTCTGGTATAAAAGTGAATGGAAGTGGTACCAGAGGGGTTCCTTGCTCTGTTCCTGATATTAAGGGGAAAGCATCTACTTTGTCAACCAGCTGTAGGGGTTCTGTTTATTTTTCTTTCTGCTAACGATAGAATCTCTTTTTTCCATACTTTGAAAGACAAACTATTAGCTCTTTTGTGCTTCTTTTACTCTACTCTTCCTTTCCACGTTCCTACAGTTGTTTCTGTACTTTATAGTATTAAGATTGATGGTATTCAGTTCTATAACCATAATAAGGCCTTGAACATTCTGTCTATAGAACAATTTTCTTTTTTTTTAAAGCTTGATTTTCAAAGATGAAAATCAATAAATGGCATTTTTACTATTATGATTATATAAATGTTTTTCACCAAATAGGAAAAACTGTACTGTACTTCTATTTCCTTTCTTATGTGATTTCTCATGGAATTGTTTTGTTTATTTTTAATTATTTTTTAATTTACATCCAAGTTAGGTAGCACATGGTGCAACAATGATTTCAGGAGTAGATTCCTTAATGCCCCTTACCCATTTAGCCCATCCCCCACCACAACCCCTCCAACAACCCTCTGTTTGTTCTCTATATTTAAGAGTCTCCTATGTTTTATACTCCTCCCTGTTTTTATATTATTTTTCCTTCCCTTCCCTTGTGTTCATCTGTTTTGTATCTTAAATTCCTCATATGAGTGAAGTCATATATTTGTCTTTCTCTCACTGAGTAATTTCACTTAGCATAATACCCTCTAGTTCCATCCATGTGGTTACAAATGTAAGATTTCATTCTTTTTGATAGCCAAGTAATACTCCATTGTGTGTATGTGTATATATATACATTTTGTGTATCTGTGTGTATATATATATATATATATATATATACACACACACACACACACACACACATATACACTACATCTTCTTTATCAGTTCATCTGTTGATGGACATTGGGGCTCTTTCCATACTTTGGCTATTGTCAATAGCACTGCTATAAACATTAGGGTGCATGTGCCCTTTCGAAACAGCACACCTGTATCCCTAGGATAAATACCTAGTAGTGTAATTGCTGCATCATAAGATAGTTCTATTTTTAATTTTTTCAGAAACCTCCATACTCTTTTCCAGAGTGGCTGCACTAGTTTGCATTCCCACCAGCAGCACAAAAGAGATCCTTGCCAACATCTATTGTTGCCTGAGTTGTTAATGTTAGCCATTCTGACAGGTGTGAGGTGGTATCTCAGTGTGGTTTTGATTTGTATTTTTCTGTGATGATGAGTGATGTTGAGCATTTTTTCATGTGTCAGTTGACCATCTGGATGTCTTCTTTAGAGAAGTGTCTATTCATGTCTTTTGCCCATTTCTTCACTGGCTTATTTGTTTTTGAGTGTTGAGTTTGATAAATTCTTTATAGATTTTGGATACTAACCCTTTATCTTATATGTCATTTGCAAATATCTTCTCCCATTCCATTGGTTGCCTTTTAGTTTTGCTGATTGTTTCCTTCACAGTGCAGAAGTTTTTATGTTGATGAGGTCCCAATAGTTCATATTTCCTTTTGTTTCAC